ACACCGATCGGGTCTGTGCTAGCACATGAAGCATTCTGGGGCCTATTCGGCGGTCTTTCAACCAGCTCACAATGGACGCTTTCAGGCTGCTGTACGCTTCCCATGTCAGACCAAAACTTTAGTATGGTGGTGCGGCGACATACCCCTGCACGGCCGGTGAACTGGATAAGTTGGAACGTGTACAACGTGCTGCCACTAGACTCATTGTTGGACTACGCGGGACCAGCTATGATGGTCGTCTACAGGCTACTGGTCTGTTCCCAGTTGCGTATCGACGCCTCAGNTTGCGGAAACTTCAGTCAGTTGGTCTTCCGTTAGTCTACCGACTCTCGCGTAGGTTAACAACACTCTAGAATTCCCCTCCAGCGATTGTGGTGGAAGAGAAGACAGACGCTGCTCTCAAACGGTGTCGGATGAGCACCTAAAGGGGCTATGGAGGAACGAACATTTGTGATCGGACCTTCGACCTAGTGGTGATGGGGCTTACACGAGCACCCTGCCCTCAATCCTGAAGACTGAAGCGTCGATAAACATAAGTGACGGATCAAGTTTAACACGTGATTCACAAATTAAAAGTGCATCACTCAATCTGTCAGGGGCTCATCAGACCCGGGTCATGATGACCTTCGGCCAATGACCTGTTTAAATTCATCGGTGCTCTAGCAAGGACCAAGTGCGATTATCGTTCATTCATTCACACAGGCGCGTCCGCGTGACGGTGTTTATCGATCGCCTGGATCTGACATCTCACTCTACACGCCCGCTTACCAGACCACCGCGATTATTGTTCGCTCGTTTACACGTTAGTGCGACTGAGTCCATCGATAGACCGAATGGCCGTGGGTTTGGTGACCACTACTACAAAAGTAACCACATTAGGGTGCCCCAAAGAATTGCGTGGAAAAAATCTTTGATTCGAAAAGAGGCGATTTCTTTTTCAAAAAGACGTTCACCAATAGACACAATGAATGAAGTCTTTAATCAGATTGCAGTTATCCTCTGGTGGCTGCATCCAGGGCTCATTCAAAGTGGGTTTGAACCCAGCTTTTATGAAGGGATCGATCAGTACGTGCGGATGCACAGAAACTCAAGCTTTCTTGATCAGATGCATGTCCATGAGAGTGTCCACTTCGGATTTCATGTTGAGTTGCTTATCTTCGATCAAAGAAAAAGATATTCCAGTAAATATTTGCGAAACGAACACTGGAAAGATCAGATCACACCCTGATACACTGATGGTAACATTGAAGAACAGTTCGGAGGCAGTCGTACTGATTTTACTACTGCGGTTTTGTTAGGGCAAGGGGCGTTATCCATAAACAGTAAAAGAGAGGTTCTCTGAAAAATCATCTTGCGGTTGACATCCGACAGCCAATTGTAAAATGATGCAGAAGTAATGCACCGGTTCTTTGAAGAATCATGACTGCATGGAAGGCTTTTTCTATCTATAACTCGGAGATATCGTGGAGTTTGAAATTTCCCAGTAACCAACGGTGATAATCTTTCCCCATTTATGCTACCACAAAGCAGTAAATTGACTCTTTCTTTGGATTTCTCGGATCCAGAAACCTTTGTTCCTTTGAGAAGTAATGTTTTTTTCTGGGAGCTTCTTGTAATACAAGGCTGTTTCCTGTGCATTGAAAATATATCACAATCAGCGTATCATCAATGGCTCAATTGCGGTAACCCTGCTCGAAACCCGTAAACTACATCAGGTGGTGCCGCCAAAATTTCATTTTAAACCTATAAGGTAATACACATGAGTAGTTACCTGTCTCTTACTTTGTAGGATTGAATAACACATCTGTCTGATCAAAAACGAAACCAACTTTCGGAAGCCTTTAAGTCACGATGATCCACTCTTTGTGCTCACAGAATTACCTTCTTACAAATGATGATCTTCATCACGGGGGAACCTGCCATGATTTTTACTAATAGCAGTAAACCAAGTCAAGGTTGTCTCAGCCACTGTCTTAAGCTTTTCGTTGGTTTTCAGATAGAATTTTCCTAAGATGCTCCAGCGGTCACAAATTATCCGATAGTGGTTCGATGGGATATAACAATGTGAACCGTTTTTCTTGAAATAAGATGTGATTCGACTATGAAGCTCTGAGTTGCACTTGGCTGATTCAGCATTTCCAACACGTCCTGATCGATAGGCGATCGCACATTTTGAAGTCGGTCTTCGATTGTTGGCATCGGTGTGTCATCCAACGATTATCCAATCAGTGAACAGTTTCATGTTCGCGTCACACTAGCTGAAACGCCATTGGCTGAGTGCGACATTTCAGGGCGGCTGGTCAATGGCCGTCCGGAACATCGGTCAATGACCAAGTGAGTAGGTATCAGGAACTGCGACATTTTGAGGGGGGCGACATTACGCGGTCAGAAACTAAGTTATTACGCGCGAGGTTGGTTTAGGTTTCCCAAAACGTGGGAAGATATTGGAAAATGAGACTTGTCAGCGGTGCGACCTAGCAGAAGATTGACTGTATATATATCGAGATATATCTATTATGATTTACTGGAATGATAACAAATAAATGAAAACGAGCTTGTTCACCACTCCGTTCCATTCAAAACAGAACATCTTCAAATAATTTAGTATATCTTCGAAAGAGAGATTCGACATGTGCAGTTTGTTACAAGTTGAGCGCATCCGGCACGCCTATATTAAGATGTTCTCACGCTTTTACTCCTAATATTGTAGCTAACAATGGTCCTATTGTGATAATTGAATAAGACGGTATTGGGACGAGGATAGTTGTTCATTATGAATAACGATTGGGGTATCGGTAAATTAGTATGCATACAACAAAATGTTTCATTTGGAACGAGTCTTCGGAATTTTCAGACGAGCGCAGGATAGTTATTGGGGCGGTCGACCAATAGATATAAGATCTTGCAGTTACCATACTGAACACGGAAATTCGCTCCAACAGGTCTTGTTTGTTCACTTTTAACCATTGAAAGAAACTGCTAATCGCAGTCTCTTGCGAACTACTCACAAATGTAAGTAGTACCTCACCACACTATTATTTACATCTTTTTTATCACACACCTTAGTGCGATAAACAGCAGAATGGGAAAGCCGTCCCAGTCACGAGGACATGCTTTTCAGTGATGGAAATCGGCAAGCCCTGGGACTTTGAGTACTGAACCACATAAGGCCCCTCGAGGTTAGGCCGGACGACAGCAAAGCTACCACCCTGAAAATTGGGTGGCGGTGATGGAGCTCGAAGCTCGGACCACGGGGTCCAAATAGACGCCGGTGACAGCAACTAAACTACTGGTTCTAGCCATCAAACTTAATGATTCCAAGGTAAGTTGCACAGAATATAATAAAAAATAACCAAACAATAACCACAACCACATACTTTGCAGATATTTTTCACATTCTTCTTTTAATTCGTTGGTATCCTGGGTCACATTGGGATCGACAATGCGCAGTTTATTCAGTTCGTCAATAAACAGTCCAGCTTTTGAAAGTTCCTCGGCCATTTCAGGCTAGTTGAGCACAATTGGAAAATCGGACGGACAGGAGAAAACAATGAGCGTTCTGAAATGAAATTAGAATGAAAGTGGAATAACCCACGCGGGAAATTCGTCAAGTTCCTTTTTCAGTTATTACAACTAGGCATGTCCTCGGCATTTCCGTGCGCCGGCTTTGGGTTCTATATTTAACATACTAGAGTTGAATTATTCACACAAACACATTGAAGTGTGATTTACAGTGAGAACTTTTAAATTCAAACCATTTCAACGTTATACTGCATGAGCAGCTTTGAAGTCACTCAGGAAGGGAATAAAGCGTACATTGTACACTGTAACAGATTGAGTCGTTGTCTTCTTTCCACAGATTGTATGTTTGTATGTACTTCACACGCATCTGAATCCAAAGTGTGTACCAAAAAAATCATAGCACAATGATCTTTATAAAGAGGAAAAACGTTCCACTGTTTGTATGTGGGCCGAATACTGCAAGGTTGCCCAGGCCAAGGCAGGTGAATTTTCTTGAGAAATCCACAACCTGAGCCTTCGGTTAGCCAAAGCCTGATCCGCAAGGCAGCGGGACGGTGTGTGAAAACCACAATCCATTGGGGTCCGGTGTTCAGTTCATACGCCTTTGGGACGTGGTCAAACATTCAAGGTGTTCAATACACCTTGATGCCCAATCAAGCCGGTGACCAATGCCACAATCGGGAGTGTGTGTAGTTCGTACGCCTCCTCTTGGTTGGTTTTGAATCACGGTTTCTGACTAACTCCCATAGGTGTACTACTAGTGGCTCACCAACCCGGTTATAGCCCCGAATGTCGCAAACTATGAGGCGGAAGTAAGTAGGGCTTCCTCAGCAAAGGCTATTAGAGACGCTTGGTTGTATGGGAGTATTTCGCGAGGTGCAAGGGAACGGTTACCAGCCCCAACCCAAGATATCCACCCCCGATCATAGTGAGGCTCTCGGAGACCCATCGTATTAGGCGGGATATGTTTGCAAAGCTTCTTCATTATATCCCAATCTCCATATTCTGTTATTCCCGTTGTTCTGGCACCAAACTCGCTCGAAAGTTGGTTTCAGCAGTCACGTAGCTTTTATTTGAATTGCGCAATAAAATTCGCCACAACTGACATGAGTGTTGGTTTATGTCATTCGTTTGCAATACGGTGTGAGAAAAGTTGATAATAGGCGATCCTGTTGACCGGCGATTTCATCAGTTTCAGCACGTTTCCTCCGCGAGATGGATCTGGTTAGAAGGTAACAGTGATCTATCTGATGCTGACAACCTCTTTAGCAACCTAAATGTCTCGATAATATCACGTCTAACGTGCTGAACGACAAAACGAGAACAAGCAGACAACCGTCCGCATAAGGTCAGTAACCATTCTTGACAGGAGTCAGAGACCAAGAATTGTTCGGATTTGGCGTCTGGGGAAGGTATGAACTTATGCTAGAACATGTGTTACAGATTCTCGCTAAATGATTCCTCCCATCGTGTTGTGTTTTCGCAAGCCGGCAGCAAGATGGACAACGAATAACTTGTGCTTCAACGATGAAGATGTTAACCTCAAACCTGGCAGTGATGGGGCACTCTGGGCACCCCGGTTGGGGTCAGAAAGACAGTGAACATTCATGGTAAACATGACTGGTAGAGTGCGTCAACAGTGCACCTGTTGCCAGTCTTCTTCACATGTTGTAGCAAATTT